AGGTTGAGAAAACCAGGTTTGGGCCCTGGGGTCCTCTTCATAGTGCATGATCGAGAGCAAATCGTAGGGCCTCTCCGTGTCCTTAGGCAGAAGAGGTGGGAGTTGGAGGTCAGTCGGTCAGTCAGGCTGGTGCGAAAGGCACTGCGAAATACATTGCTTTGTCTAGAGAATGCGTCACTCAAAAGAACCGAAACCTTTTACCCTCTCAAAACGAAGAGACCCACCTATTCGAGAGGGCTCCCAGCTCCAGGAGTCATAAGACGGGGTGGGTTTTTAGTCCCGTCCAGTGAGTGGATGTTCTGGGCACCGCTATCCTCCAAGTTCGGCACCCCTTTGTGACTGCTGGATGAAGCATCTCTTTGTGTGGATTCTTCCTTTGCATTCTCTTTTTGTTCTGGTCAGCCCACGCCGGGACTGAAGATTGGGATCAATTCCACTTGTTCCCCAGCTGACTTGTTCCCAAGCAGCAGCTTGGTGCAGGAATTTCCTAGCCTGGTCATGTCCCATCGCACACACAAACCCTGAATTGACCAACCGCTGGTCATGTCCAGATGGTCATCATCCGAAATCACTCCTCTTTCGTGGAAACAAGTCCCATGCCAGGACCTTCAAAGTGACCGCCCTTCTGATCAGCCCAATCCAAGGAGGTCACTGACCACTTTCTGCCCATGCCGGGCTCACACGCCGCTGGGTGAGCCCACGCGAGGTCACACGCGACGCGAGGTCGCTCGCGGGCCGGGTCTCACCCCCCCTGGAGATGTCGAAGTTGTGCGCCTTGCCTCAACGTGACGTGAAGTTGTGCCGCGCCGGCGCGGAGGCGTGACGCGAGCGGGTGGATTCCGGCGTGGAGTCTCCCCACTGGGAGACTTGCGATGGGAGGCTGAAAAGGTGCAGCAACAAAAAGGGGCTCGATCTTCCTGACAATGTGAAAGCAGCTTCCAGAGGGGCGCTGCTCGTTACAACCTCCAACGCATGGTGGTTTAGGGACTGACCAGCGCAGGTTGGGGAGCTCCTTCGCCGGGGTCGCTCGCTCCACCAGATGCGAAGCCAGGTCGGGCAGCTCATCTGTACAACTTCGATCCTTTTACGTGGAGAGGTTTTGGTTCGACACCTCCCATGGAGAGCCCACAACTGGTCAGAAAACAAGTTGAAGAGACCTAATTAGCATACTAGGAACTTGCTTGATGGCATCTTGATGAATTGGGGAAGTTCTCCAATCTCTTCCCACACGCCTCAAACGCCTCTCCCACCGCCTCTGTCAACGCCTCACCACCCCGCGTGCCCGCGGAACCCCGCGCCGGTGACGCGGAACCCACGGCTCGGACGTGCCGGCCTTGTTTGATTTCACTCTCGTGGATCTTGACCTCACGGGCCGATGGGAAAGGCTTCCCCCCCCCCCGGGCACAGGGAGGGATAGGGAGCTAACGCGTCTCGATCTGGGCCTCTGGACATCATTTCTGATCAATCTCCTGATGGCCTTCCCCATCCGGACCAATCACCCTAAAAGACCCAGAGTTGGGGACCTTCCAAGAATCGCCTGGACGTTCCAACGCTCAAGAATCTAAACTGGATGAATCACACACGTGACAAAAGCTAGCTTTAACAACCTCCAGGCTGCTCCAGCTTCATTTGCTTGGAGAAGTTCTTTCAGCAACTCCACTCACTCCATTCACCGGAGCCACCGTTGGATGCGACCTTCGACTTGTGAAAGCCCAGCCCTCCGCATCTTCAACCCTTCCCTCGACGCTGAGTCGAGTCCCAGTGGCGTACTTGTCCCGATCCGGCCGGCTCTGCTCATGCGCCATGCCCAGCGCGTGGCCCATCTCGTGCAAGGCCGTGCCCACGCTATCGCAGCCCGGACTCTGCAGGTTCAGCTCCTGAACCTGGTGTCGGACTCACCGAGCTGAAGAGGCTGGCCGACCGGTGAAGGAAAAAACGACCGGCGTTCGCCTTGTATACATACCGTTACATACCCATGTGCCACGAGGGATCATAAGGGATCATAATTATTCGGGCTACCTGGTGCAGAAGGAGAAGCAACGCTGAAGAACAGCTGCAGAACACCCTTTGTCTGCTATCTACTGTACCTGCACCACGATCCTTGGAATGAAGTTCTCTTCACCCTGAGAAGCTGTTGATGTGAACAAGAACATCGTCTTCCCTAGCCACATCTATAGGGGCTCCTATTCCTATTCTTGTCCTCTGACGGTGTCAACAGTTGGGGGTTCTCCCTCCGAGGAAGTGTACAAAAGTAGATCCTCCCTCATCATGGTCACTGACACACGCGCGGGTGGCGACAGAAGAGTGTATTTGAAGTCGCACTGGAATCCGAAGTCGCAGCATGCTATGATGTGGAACAGTTCCGGGGTGGAACCCAAAGATGGCGCCAGCTTGAGGTCCTTGACACCGAAGAGTGGCTCAAAACTGGGGAGTTCCATTCAGTCCTTTCGGGTTGGGACCAGCTTTCCACGCACCCCTGTCCAATTGCTGGGTGGTGTCACCAACCTGTCAGCGCTCTGTCAGCCACCCGCTCTGGCGCCCGGTGCTTCGTCAAAGTCCCATCGCTGCCTCCCGGTGGTCGAGCATACCCACGTAGGACCAACATCCAGCCTCGGCTCCCGTGGCACCGCCCGGCCGCTGCGTCCACGCGGTCCACGCGGAGGTCGGGGGTCTGGAGGGGTCGAATGGAGGGGGTCGAATAGAGGGGGTTTTGGGGGGGGGAGACGTCACAGCTCTTGTTGAACTTCCGTTTTGATGCCGCTTTTCTCAATGCTTAATTTCCAGGGTCCACTCTTGGATGTCTTCTTTTCTCTCTCCATCCCCGCATCCCTCCTCCGTGCTGTTCGTTCTCCTAGAGACTCACACCCACACTTCGGCTTTGGATCATATGGCCTCCAGGCAAAACCAGGGGGGCCCGAAACCTCTCCGAAACCGAAACCCAAACCAAACCACGCTCCGAAAGTCCGGTCCCCCCGCCTTGGTCTCGCTTGTCTCACGTCCGGACGCGTCGAAATTGGGGAAACCCTTCCGGGCCACGTCCTCTGACTTGATGAGGATGGCGGGCGCCACCTCGCAGCGATTGCCACTCATGCGGCCCACGTCGTTGAACTGCAAGCAGGGCACCGCCTGGCGGACGCAAACCGCGGACGCAAACCGCGCGGCGAAGCCGCGGAGAAGCCGCGGTGGGGATGAGATGCCCGGACGGTGGAGCAAGGAAAGTAGGGGGCCTAACAGGGATGAGTCAGAAACCAGGGCCCTCAACCAGGGAAGGTCCGAGTTCTCAAGCAGATGGGTCAACCATCGCACACCGCAAGGGACCGAAACCACTACGGTGAAGAGGGTGGTCGTCGACGAGAGCGACGACGTCTCGGTCCTGTCCTCCGTCCGGTCCGGGCCAAACAGCCGACACGGTCGATGTGTGCGGCACAGGGGAACCAAGCCCATGGACCCTTTCATCCGTCGAAAAGAACGCTTCCCTCATCAGTCGAGTTTCTCTTCCCACCACCTTTTGGTCTCTTTCGCGGGTTCGGCTGCGGACATACCCACCCAGGCAGTTCCAGAAAAAAAGCTCCATGGAGATCACACATGCTCCTGTGAAACCTTCCCCTTCACGCTGCCGTGGATGGTGCGTTGAAAGACTCTTGGTCCTTTGGGTCGGGGTTTTCGTCGGTCAGTACAGAGGTCGTTGTTGGAAGACTTCAATTCCCAATTCCCAAGTCTGGCCTTCTTATATTGTTGGATGGCCAGGTGAACTGCTTCCTTCACCGCTCGTTTGGTCTTCTCCTGAGAAAAAACAACAGCCTGCAGAGCCTGCCTATTTTGGTCCAAATTCAGACGCCGGACTATCGATCCCCTGCATTTTGGACCACATCTCATTCACCATTGGAAGATTACATCCTGGAACCATCATTCTAGACTTACACCGGAACCCAAAAGATGAAGGCACCTGCAAAAGTGTCTCGAATTCCTCTTTCTTGCTTGAATAAACACCCCAAATGCTGCAGTGGCCAGTCAAGTGTTTACCAACATCTCCACGAAATATGCACACCAAAATCCGATGTCGATGTGCGTTTCGCCCCCCGACAGGAGAATCCTGGCCACGCGCGCGATCAAGAGTCCCCAATGCTGGCAGCCCTACCAACCACACGGACTCTGCGAAAACGGTCACCTACAAAGAAACCCACCGAACCGACTGAACAGACTAAGTTGAGGAACTCTCTGGGCTGGGTTGGGAGAACACCCCAGTGATTGGAAAAAAAGAAAGGTTGATGAGTTCCCTCTTGGCAAAAGATCTCCTCATGCTGGATGCAAACACCTGCCGTTTGATCAACTGGAAGAATGTTTGACAAATTCGGTTGGAGAAGCATGTTCAGTCATAGAGGCAATGAACTACAACTACATGAAGAAACATCACAGGAAGTCTACCATTGGAAAGGTTATCGAATCAGATTGAGTTTTGCATGCCCTGCCTTTCCTACAATCCATTTCCACGATTCATGATGCCGTGCGAATCTGTCAGGGCTCGTGGAAGCAGTAGTTGACGATGCCATCCTGCTCGTTTTGGAACCAGAACGGCAAACATGCAACCAGAAAATGGAAACAACATTGGCAATTACATACTACACATCACAACACGCTCAGGATCAAAAGTGGCATCATTTCACACTTGTTCGACTCCCCTGTCTCGGTTGTGGGTCTTCTATTCGCCATATCAGAATGTTTACAAGGGTCCCCACTCAAGAGACTCGTGACAAGCGGTCGTATGAAGTCATACTGAGTCATTTCAGGTATATAACTGCTTCATTTCTCTGACGCCCCTTTTTGGCAAGACTCCACATGGTGTAGCCTTCATTCTGCTGAAGAGCAAGTCATTTCAGCTTGTTTCAACTGTTCTTTCTTTCGCATCAGAGGGTAATCCTGTAGCTCAAATCTCAAGACGGGCGGCATAGCCGAGGCCAAAAAATGCCAAAGCTCGTTTCAACGAGGATTTGCAAGGCCCACCTTTTGTTCACACGAGGTCCGCGCTACAGCTCGGTGCTGCAGCTCGGTGCAACCTCCAACTCACTAGTCATCTCCCCTCCTCCCCCCCGGACGCGGTTACCCCCGGGCCCCCGAGGCGGTGCACCGTCCGACCCAAAGATAGCAAAAAGCACCTCCCCACCCGAGCCACCGTCTGTGCTTGCTCGGTCGCCCCCTGGGCTTCGTTCACGAAGCGCCAAGCCAGGACTCGACCCGCGTCGCGGCAGATCGGCTCCTTCCAGGGCTTTCCAGCACCAAAGCTCCCCCGCTGCTTCCGCTGCACCTGCTGCTCGGCATTCTCCACAAAGCCCTGGAGAATGGCGCAGGACGGTCAACCCCTCTGAAAAGAAAGAAAAAACACAACTGCGGAAACAGCTCAAAAAACACAAACACATAACCCAGCCAGCCAATGTTCAGCTGTCAGCCAAGCATTTATACACACACGCTGAAGGGTCTTGATGCGGGCGCAAGCCTGGGAAAAGGGCTGTGTTGTCAAACAATAATGCTGGCGATGCAGAACTAGAACGGTTGCAACATCAGCACTACAAATAGTATGTTGTTTTTGTGCTATGCATCATCATTTCTTGGCTCTTTCTTGGCTCCTTTTCTCGGAGAACAGCATGCGTATGTCACCCCATTCCCCAAATGAGCCAATGCAGCCATGAAGCAAAAGAGCCGCAAAACATGGACAATGCAATCTTTCTCTGTACTCTCGAACCTCCCACACTTTGGCATCCAAAAAGGCACAATGCTCGAGCACGTACACGAAAGGCACGGCGCGCACCGCGCGCACGAAACCGTTTTCCTTGAGCTGCTTGGTATCCTCAGGAACCATGTCTCCTTGGAAGGCATTCTTGTTCTTATCCTTGGCAGCCAAGCAGGATTTCGCCCCGACAAGGTGCATGCCGATGTCGAGAAGGTGCGTACTGCCGATGTTGGAATGTCCGCCGGTGTTCGCTACGTGAATCTACCAGGGTGTTGCTTGAGGGCGTGAGACGAAGTGACTCTTGGAAGAAAAGAACCAAGTCGCAACCTTTGGTAGATGAGTCATCAATTAAACAAGAACAGACCAGGGCCCCCTATCCTAGGGGTGGTTTTTTTGACACCCATTCACCTCCAAGGAGTTATTGAACACCCCTTCACCTCAGGCCCTAGGAGAAGGTTTCGCCCGCGTGCGAAGGAGATCACGACGTTTCGGTCCCATCAGATGGTCGGTGATCCTGATGTGTGCTGGCGGTGGACTTGGTCTGAAGAACGACACTCATAGGAAGTAGATCTGGAAAGGATTCATCAAAAGACGAGACCCCAAAACCTGGCTGGTCGGAAGAAAGGAAGGGTTTTGCCAGATGTGGGTCCTCAGCCCTAGTGGAAGAAATAGCCGTTCTAGCCGTCCTGGCCCAATGGTGATGGTTGGAGCGAAAAATCGCTGCAGTCGACTCAAACATCGGATTTGATACCATCAAAAAGTTACAGTATATCGGGATTCGAGCGTTCCAAAACAGAGATCATCCAATTGACAGACGGAATGGGCGACAAGACTGTTGGCTCAAATCCCAAGTGATGCTTAATTCTTTACCGAGGTCGCACAAAGTGGCTTTAATTGGAGCGAGGAGTTCTGAAACAAGCCCGCACCGAAGCCACTGCTTTCATACGGAGCTGGAGCTTCTACGAGTGAGACGTGATGACAATGAAAACTAGTAGCGAATAGTAGCGATGGCCTCTCTCTCTCTCTCTATTTATGACTGTCGAGTCATGCCACACAGTGATTAAAGGTGTTCCTGTCGCAAAGCTGCCCTTCACACCAACTCTGAACACATTGTTCAAGCGATGGCCTCTCTCTCAGTCCAGTCCCCACATGTGTCCAGCTCCACAGGTCCCTTGGCTGAAGAGCCTGCAGCTTAGTCTCTTCCAAGTCCATGACATGTCCATGAGAACTCGTGAGCCCAAGGATCTTCGCAATGTCCTCTACAGACGCCCAAGGCTTTTGGAACATCGCACACGGATCGAAGTGCAAAGATGGGTGGCAGTTCGGATCGAAGGTCCCTCCACTCACTCGGCCTTTCTTCCCAACCGGTCCCCATCCCGGAAGGCCAGCTCCACCGGTTCTGGACCTAGCGAAACGACCGGTGTCGACCGGTCGGTCCTCTGAGGTGATTTCGATGCCCAGCTTGGCGGCCACCTCGGGGCTCAGTTGGCCCTCCATGGAGCGCAACAAGTCCATGATCGCAGCAAGTCCATGATCCGCTCGCTGTCGGCCTGCAGATCCTGAAAACGCCGCGTGAAGAGACCGGGATGGGCCGGTCGGCCGGGGAAAGCCAGGTCGGTAAGAGGGAGGCGGACCAAGAAGTAGTGGATGTGTGAAAAGATTTCAGTTGACTCAGGCGCCTTCCAAGCCAACTGCCAGCTGATGGGCATCAGGGAGAATCGTACTGCGACTACTACTACTACTACTACTACTACTACTACTACTACTACTACTAC